AGGAATCCATGCCACCAGGGCTCATAGCTAAGGGAGATTTTGTTCTTTTTGGGGGATGCAGGTAGCAACAGCTACAGGGCCAAACTACATTACGTCTGAGTCAAGTATTTACATAAAAAGTATTCTGAACTTGCTAACTATTTAAAAAAATTACACACAAACACCCCCCTAAAAAAAGTAATAAAATAAATCCAGAACAGGCAGAAGAAGAGACTGGGAGTATGTTCCTCCTACAGTTCATGTCAGGACACAGATGAATTAAACCTTGACCCCTGAACCCGAGCCTGCTGGACAAGGTCTGCGCGATCTGCGTGCTCATGGCGTACAAGGCGCCTGTTGATCAGCTCAGGGGGACTTGGTTCAAACTGTAAATATCATTAGCAGCAGCGGCAGGGCGAAGGCTGTTTGTCGGGGTTTGTGGCAGAGGTGAAGAGCGCAGCAGTTCAGTGTGGGAAGCTGGCTGGGACAAAACCGGGCAGGCGGATCAAGCAGTGCCATGGGGAGCCCAGATGAATTTCTGCAGGGACACCATCTGCTCCCATGGCTGGAGATAAGGGAGAACAAGGCTGTATCCTGCATGTGGACTCGCTTAGCCCAGCCTGGTCTTTGTAGGCGTGTACGAGCGTACGGGCTCAAGCACCTGCTTGTGAGGGGAGCGGGATGCCCCCATGGCTGGCTGAGGGCTGCAGTTGTCCTGATGAACGGGGGGCTACTTAAGGTGTGCGGATGGCTGAGTGCGTTGGGAGAGGAAAAGGGTTTATTGGCGCTCTAACTCGCTAGTAGTTAACGAACATTTGACCCCTTTGAATAAATGCGATGCAAAGAAAACGCAGGCGGTAGGGGAAATGCAGGTGCATGGGCTCCTTCGTAACAGGCCAGACAAACCATACGCTTGAGATTGCTTCCTAGTCATGCAGACTTAAAAAACACTTGGATGTGAATATCATTAAGCTCTGGGGTAGTCTGGAGCAGCCGTGGGAGAATGTAACCAGTCATTTTCTAAATAAGAAGCCAAATCTCTGAATCCAGATCCACCTCCTCCCAAACTCCCAGTCCGATCCCATGTGCATCACGAGCCAGATGTGGCTTGGGCACTACTCCTGCTGCAAATTCAGCTGAAATGAGCACAAATGGGAATTAAATGGAATAGGAAATATTCACGGCTGATTTGTGCCTAATCAAGATTACACGCAGTTTTGCTGACTGCGTTCCTCCGGCACGAAACAGGACCGCTCCGTATCGCAGGGGCTCCTCACCTAAACAGCACCGGGAGGGGAACATGCCCATATTTACGTAGAAAATACAGCCCATTGGGACAGAGAAAAAGGCAAAGTACACCCAAGGCATCCCTACGAGAAGTACGAGTTGACAGGAATGTCTCTCATAGTGCCCTTCCCTCTGTATCAGAAGTGATCTGGCTGAGAAGTCCTGGAGCAAACCACAACTGAGGGTGTTGCTGTCTTCCCCAAATACTTTCTCTAATGAGGTTTTTAAATAGTTTTGCCCCGCCTACACTGGCAGCCAGAGCACTTTCATCTCCAGGTGAATGGGAACCGAGGTGGGACTCTGCTGTCTGCTGGGGAGGATCATTTCCATATTGCAGCCGAGGCGGCGAGGCTGGCAGGCACAACCCGCATGATGGCAGGGAAGTGCTCGTTCTCTTCTCGGAGAGGCTTGCTGATGGTGGTGCAAATATTAACCTCCTGCATCAGTGCTTGAAATGCAAAGAGCGCTCCGGCAGTGTGGGTTCGCAGGAGAGGAGGTGTGTTTCGGTTACACCTTCACACCGATGAGAACTGCGCATCAGCCAGCAGGTAGCCGCTGCAAAAATGAGGTTTATTAACAGGCTACAGGACTCAATTTGTTGCAACCTGTACCTACAGTGCTCTGAGTAACCACACACCTTTCATTCTTAGGTGGCAAAGATCATGCCTATCCTAGAGGTTTTTTGGTGGGTGTGGAAGTACTTTCCATGTAAATTCATCTCGCCCCCTTCTCCTCCCCTGCACTGGCTGCTGGCGGAGCAGCACTGACGTGCAGCCTCAGAGGCGAGCACTCGCCCACCCTCTCACACACAGCTGAAGAGGAGTCCGAGACTTGCCTTGTACCTCCGCGGGTTCGCCTCCCACGGGGATGCCCGAGTAGGTACAGCGTTGGCCTCACACAACCACTTTGTGGGGCTGGGTATGGGATCTGACAGGTCAGAGGGTGCTTTGGGCATTTTTTTCTAAGGGAAAAAGAACAATTTCATCACAAAATATTCACATGGCCCCAGTAATCTGGGGAAATATAAATGGCCACACAAGCTCATTATAACTGTCCCTTCTGATTTTATAAACTGTAAGTCTGTATAATGAAAATAAAGTCCCAGCCCTGAAGAGCTGCGAACATCTGCAGCTGCTGCCCAGATGTGGTTGCCCGGAGCCTCTGCAAAGGTTTCAGGGGAAAACCCCCGTCTGCCTCGCACGTAACGCCAAAACAGAGGACAGAGGTTTCGTTTTATAAACCTCGACCAAGGAGACATTAAGTGCCTTTGATCTCCAGATATAAAAATGATCTTTTGATTTAAGATTATGAAAATGAATAACCATCTGCTAAGAAACAGCTACGGACCCACGTTTTATTGAGGCCATATGGTGTCCAGGGCTTCTACGTATGAATTCAATTAGCTGCTTGTGTCTGCGTCAGTAATTCTGTATCCACCCAGTCATGTTTTTGGAACAAATATTATAATATTCCCATGGATCCTCCAGACAGTGGGAGGTGTTTCCTTCACTGTGAAGGTTTTGGGAAGTGATGACTTTGTCTCATTTTCATCTTACCCTACTCTGTATTTCTAGTCCCTTGCTTCTCAAGGCTTGGAGCTTTCCCCAGGATCTCTGAGCCAGCTGCAGCGCTGAGTAAAGACATCCCCGACGCCAGTTTGCCCGTCGGGGCTCATGTTTTGGCTTTCCCTATCTCCCTCACGGGGAACCTGTCCCGTCCACCTCTTCTACACTGGGACCGAGTTTGCGGTGTTTTCGAGAACATAATCCATTTCTAACCTAAGCCAGATCTACTGCAGTCTCCTTTCCCTGGTGCTTACCGGGGGTTTACTCAGTGCTCGGCTCTGCTGAGAGCAAGCTATCTGTTGCCACCACCTTGCAGTCTGGAAGGCTGGCATGATGTAAAGATGCAGTCCTTTTAATAGGGTGCAGAAGGGTGGGAATGACCAGTTGCCTGACTGGCCACCAGCCCTGGCAGACGGGCAGCTTCCCTGCCCGGGAAGCCAGGCTGTGCAGAACCCAGTTAGCTACTGTGATCTTTCAAATCTAAGAATCTGGAAGTCCTTTTTTTTTTTTTAAGGTGTGGCTTGGCACCACATGCTGCACTCAGCAAGCTGCGTATTTGCACTGATTTGCCTCTTTGCAGTGTTGGAAGTGGGAAAAATGCCGTTACGGGAGCAGGCTGGGCAGAAGCCCCGAGAGCAGCAGGTTGTAATTAGGGGCTGCAAGGGCCTCGCTCGCAGACTGCACCTTCCTCTGCACCCTGCTAACGCATTTGCACAAGAGAGAGCCTTGAAAAATGCTCTTGAGCAGAAAGTATCCCTAGCAAAGGGATGGTATTTGTTATTTTCTCCTGACTTTTTGGGGGAGAGATGGGGTTGTCAAGATAAACTGCTATTTATAGACATACTTCTCGAAAGGTTTGCCTTTTTCCCTCCTCTTTCTGTGCACATACTAGTGCAGCATAGACATTGCAGGGTTTAGCTTAGGCTAAGAGAAATCAGCTTTTGTAGAGCCCTGCGTTATGCCAGAACAACACAGAACAGAGATCATCACACAAACTCCCACTGAGACCGGGGCTGCCTCCTCCCACAAGGACACACTCTGCAGAGACACCCCCCTGCACCCCCGGCCCCTGGGTCCGGCCCTGAGCTGCCATCCCTCATCCCCCTACCCTGGGAGCACAGCCAGCGGTTCCTTCTCTGTAGCAAACCACTTCTTCCCAGGGCTGACAAGGCTCCTTTACAACCACCACAGGCTCGGCATCGCTGCCGCCCCACACCTTGCCTGGAGCACCGCGCAGCAGTCCCAGCCACCGCAGGGCTTCTGCTCCGGCTGCTCCTCATCAGCTCGCACGCCCGTTCTGGGTGTCCGAGCAGAGTCACAGGCTGTGCACAGAGTCTGGAAAAACGGTCTGCTGCCCCAGCACGTACCTGGGCTTTATTTACTTTTTTTTTCCTTATAGCATTTTTTAATCTTAATGTCTTACAGTTTCTTTCTACTGGTGGAAGGGGCCAGCCAGCTGAAACATTCTGACATCCTTTACATCTGTAAAACATGGTCTTACCACCTATCTGAAAGCTGGGCCAGGACCCTTTGGACTATCCCCCTTCCTCTGTTACATGGAGAAAATTTGAACGAGGATGATGCATTAAAATCCGTGGTCTGCATTGTCTTGCTGTCCAGAATGGCACCATCATGCAGCAACCACCCCGAGTTGCCCATGGTACCGTCTCTCGTTTCAGGGGTTTCTCACCAATGATCTATGTTTGACTCTGTTTCAAGAATGGCTTTACGTTATCGGTACGTGGTCGCATTCCTTCGGTCTGATGTCGTTGCTGGGAATTGCTGATTTCATACTTATGTCAGCACAGGGTCTCACTAGGGTCCTTACTGCCGCTGCTATATGGTCCATCTTCTCCCTGCCTTTCCTGGGGACCAGCCACGGAATCAATGGTCCATCAGGGCATGCTGTGGCTGCTGCACCTGGGAAACCCGCAGGGACACCTTTCCGGGCTGGCTTTGCTCATCATTCTGCGTGGCTATGATTAGAGACTTATTACCAAATTAGAGGATTATAAGCATAATAATGCACAGCGAAACTACTCATTTCCAAAGATTTCTCTTTTTTAGAATAAAATATAAGCCCTTTGCCAGATGGGTTTTACAAAGAAGAGCTCTGAAGAAGCAGCCATGAGGAAAGAGCAGCAGAGTGGAGGGATGAGAAAACGGAGCAGGTTCTCATTAGGGTGCAACGCATGTAATAATTACTTGAGGAAGCACGGGGGATGGCAGGGCTCATTTCACTCTGGATCCCACAGCGACTGCAAGCTTGCTTGCATGTGCAGCTGCTACAGGCCTGGAATATAATTTTATAGCTCTGTCTAACCCAAACATCCCTCGCCCCTTCCTTCCCAGGAATTCTTGGGAACTGTATCTGATCCAACACGCCACTTGGTTTTTTGGTTTTTGTTTTTTTTTTTTTTTTTTTCTTCCCGTTGGTGCTGAACTGCTTGATAAAGCAGTTACTGCTCAGAAACAGGATTTTAGGCAGCTAGTTCAAATCTGACACCCATCAATGTGGATTACTCAACTTTACACAGTAGTCATCACTCCGGCTTCTCAGCTCCCTTGACAAAACTGACATAAGCATCCCCACAATGCTATTACCAGGTGTTCTGGTTTTCCATCCTCACAGTTTGTCTTATTCAAGGGACCCACTGAAGCCCCTCTGATCTGCTGGCAGGTCCTTCAGGACTCCCCTGCTGCAGCCTGTGCCAGCCCAGGCAGGTGGCAGGTTTGGGGCTCCCGAACTTCGATGCAGAACCTTCCATAAACGCTACATCCAATCCACCCACACCCCTACCCATCGCCATCACGCACCACTAACGTCACCCATTTCAAACTGTTTTGAGGAAGGTTGAGAACTGGCTGGTTGAAGCCAAAGTTGTGACTAATATTTTTTGGGGAAAGTACTTTATGTGAAAACAAGTGAAGAGTGAAGCGGAGACGTGGTACAGAGATGTGTGGAGGTAGGGAGGGGCTTTTTTGTGCCAAATTTCCCTTTTCCCTAAAGGGAGAACCCAAGTTGCCTTATTTCTTAATGTGGAATGAGACAGAGAAGGAAAACTTCCTTCTTTACTTCTTTTAGATCCTCGCGTTTCTAGAAAGCCGCTGAATCACACCCTTATGATACGCTGTCATGGAAATGGGCCCCCTTGGCTTTCACTCACGGCCGCCGCGGGCCAGCCCACCAGCTGGGTTTCATAGCTGTTGAAGCCAGAAGAGCCCCTTGCGTTCATCCCGCCGGACCCCTGCGTAGCGCAGGCCATAACCACGATCGCAGTACAGCAATCTCTTTTTCTCATTGCTCCTTCCCGCAGCAAGAGGCTGCAGGTTTCAGGCTTTCCAAGGCTTCCCCCAGCCAGAGCAAGCTGTGCAAGCAGGCACACACAGAAATCTTTAAGAAAAGTCAGTGGAGTCCAGGCCCAGGGGCAACTGATGCAATCCAGCAGACAACTGCAACAGGTTCATTCCTTATGAGCTACAAAGACAAGGAGCTGGAGCCAGGTATGTTACACAGAAACATTTGGGTTCTGTGACTTCGTAAGTGAAATAAAAACAATTATTTTTAGTCATTTAGAGCAGGCAAAGGACTCAGCCCTCATAACTACTTTGCTTCCAAAAGTTATTCAAGCCCTATGGAGCCACATATATTTGCTTATTAACTATGTGACTGTAATAGCAAAGCCTCCTTCCTCTCTCTCAAGCTAAAATGTGGTATGTAAAATGGCAGTGCCTTTTATAGCCCTGTGCCCACAAAGACTCAGCTGCAGAAGTCATTTCCTATTTACATCAAAAAAAAGCACAGTTCAGCAAAGATCGCTAGGACTCCAGCCAGCAAGGTGCTGTCTGCAGGTGTGGATGGGTGATTCACCCTCCCATCGGCAGCCCAGGGCCTGGCTCCAGCCAGCATCCTCTGCCCACAGGTTATCTTCATCCTCCGGCTCCCGGTGCTTCCCCAGGCCCAGGCAATTCCAAGCACACCCAAATAAAGTCCCAAATCAATCCTGTCTGGCCTCACCCTCTTTCTCAGCAGAGGATTTGGATCGTTTCCATGTCTCTTTTTTTTTTTCTCTTCCTCCCAGAGGAAGTCCTCCTTAAAAGCAACTCCCTTTGAAAACCTGAGCCAGAAGATTGGACATTGCCTTCCTGCCCTGCTCTCCTAATCTCTTCTGATTAGAGTAACAACCCTCCAAGTCTCTCCTACACCCCAGACGGGCTTTCCTCTTCCCCCACAAACAGCATCCCCCTTCCAGGGACCAGCCCTGTTACCAGCTCCTGCCCTCGTTAACCCTTTCTCAGCCCCTGTACTCTTTGTGCTCTCAGCTGCACAGCCCAGCCTCGGGAGGAACAAAGCCCTGGGAGCAGGCGAGCTCCGCAGCGCTCGGGGGGAATCCGTTCGGGGGCATCTGGGCCAGTTCCCACTGACAACTACACCAAGGCAGTGGGGAGTTAGGAACTGCACAGGGAAATAAAACATCCCATGGCGTAACAGCTGGCTGAAGCCTGTCAATTTTGGCTACTCTTTAAAAACCTCATCGGAAATACTAAAATACACTGATTTTTGCTAGCCATCCCGTGGGAACACTGGTATTGTTCCCAGCCAGCAGTGAGGAGCTGTCAGGATGCCCAGAGCATGACATGACCGGCTCAATGCCTCTGGCAACTCCAGTTTCACTGGAAGTCACGGTGCTGTGCCGGACAGTCTGGTGCTGTGGCTTTGCCACCATCCAGACCTCAGCCCTCTCGGTGCTAACGCACAGCAAAAGGCACTTCCTAGAGACAGATTTTTAAAAAATGAATTTTATCGCTGTCAGCTAACCGAAACCAGGACTCATTTCAGATGATCTTCACAGACAGGTACAGGGGAAATACAAAGCAGGCGACCTCAGGAACAGCCCACCTTAGCAGAGATTGCTCCATTAATCATTTTGGCTGCAACTCAGCATCACCAAAATTAGAGCTTTGAGGTGAGCTCTTCAATCTGAGAAGCCGTGTCACATTGTGACTAGATACTGTGCTGAAATTCAGCTGCCGGAATTATGGAGGTGGAAGACCTTTATTTAGCCCGATCTTCCATCGTGAAACCTCCTCCAGATTTCCAGCGAAACCCCTTTCGGAGCGTGTCAGAGTGCTGAGTAACAGGACCAGTTCGGCTGACTGCTGTGACCTCCTCCAAGCTGCTTATCCTTGAGTGTTTTGGATGCCAAACTATTCTCATCAGAAAATAACTTCCTCAGAAAGTTAGTGGGAGATCTTTAGTCTTGGTTTTCTTATGGGTTTTTAAAATACAAATAAATTCTCTTTCTGTTTGCAAAGAAAACTCTGAAACCTCCTTTAACCAGAAAATAATTTCGAAGCACGTTCTGCGTTTCCTTCGGTGCTCTTGCCTCTCCTACGGCCAGCCGTGGCTGTCATTTTATTAATCACTTAGCAACATTTCTGAGCATGAGTTGGTGCAGTGCCGGGGTCACCACACCCACTACCAAATCACACATCCACACAGCCAACTTTCCAGAAAAAAGAAATTTAAAAAAATCTACTCTTTTGGCATCTCATTCCCACTACTCAAACATTACCGATTTGGGGTGGAAATTTCCTGGCAGGAGCTTCTATTTCCATTCTGCATGTTCCTGAGAAAAGTGGTGAAGAAAGTTTCAGGAGATGAGCTGTGGTGTGCTAGAGCTCCAGCCTCACCCAAGACTCACTCAAACTCCTCAAATGTAACCCCAGCATGTGTTAACGTTGGGGCAACGACGGGGACCACTTCGAGATCTCTGATGTTGCTTAACCAAAGCGAACGGTGTTCTCCTAATCGCCTGAATGGTGATGCTCTGGGGCTCCAAGGTAGGAGAAGCTGCTGTGTGTTTTTGTGAAGAGGTGGGTGCATATGCATGCCCTCCGTACAGACAGACAGACCTCCCTGTTGGACGGACCTTCCTCCTACGCCTCATACTCCCTGCCAGACCGGTGTTCAGCTCTCACGGTGGAAGCAATAGCCTTCATCCTTGGTCAGGAGGGGGTGCAAAGACATGGCACTCCTGTGTCAGGAATTGACTCCTGCCTCTGGCACAGGCTCCAGCTCCCAACTAAGAACAAGATGCAAGTGGCCAAAGGAAGGCCTGAGCTCCATCCCACCCCAGTGCAGGACAACCATCCATTTGTGGTATTTTCTCAGCTGACTCGAGAAGCACCTTTTGCTCAGGCACAACTTTTCCTGTGCGTTGTGTCCTCCGCTCAGTGCTGCCATGGAGCTGTAGTGATGCCACCAGGGCTGGCAGGAGGCGGCAGACAAGGCAGGAGCACAGCCACATCACCGATGGGACATTCATGATCCGCCATCCCTTGCCACCACTGTCCTATCTTGTTTCTTTCCAATTGCAAGACATGGAAAACCCCCAGAGCCTGATACCAGCCACGTACCAAGGGCAGCTGAGGAGAAGAGTGACTCAGAGGAGGGGAGACTTCCAGGTCGGCCCGGCTGTGGGGGAACCGCCAGCGCCCGTGCCCACGGGGGAAGTGAGATGGGGAAGCGGAGCAAGCTGGCACAGGAGGAGGTCAGCAACGGGTCAGGTGGGCGCACGGAGGCATTTCTGAGCTTGCTTTCAGATGAAAGAGAGAAATGAATGCTCATTCTTGCATCTCTCACGAGGGTGTATGACACGGGTAGATATATATGTACGCCTGTCTAGATGCCCCCCTTCCCCCGTATTCAGAATATAAGGTTTTTCTTTACTTTTATTGCCGGTGCTATCACTCAATTGTCATATTTTATCTCTATGGACAGTTTCTGTATCAAATTCTGCCAGTAAAGTGCTCTGGGACTTTTTAGTATGAAAAGCACCATGGAAGTTTAAAACTCTCTCTCTCAGTGCCATTAAAATTACCTAGAAATAATGTAATCCCTTCAATTCTGGAAACTCAGCATGATGCAAGATTTAATCTTTACCTGTCATTGGCCAAGTACATTCTTGTACTCCACCAAGATGTCTTAGCAACTGCCCTAAAGTGAATACAATGCCACAATTTCTGCTGTTAGGCTGATGATTGATTAATTTTTACTGCTTGGATAAAGAGAAGGAAAGAAGTGAAACAGTGAAATGAATAGAAGTGAAACCACTGGTTATGCTGAAAACACAGCTTCATTAGGAGAACTGCGCTACCCACCATTTATCACAAAATCTGATTTCTGCAGCCTGGATGGCAATGCCTCATCAGTTAAATGTCAGAGTATGGCCCATGACACCCAGAAAACCATGGCAGTACAAATCCTGTGCTGTTCCTTGCCTCCCTTCCCCAAGGCAAAGAATTAGGAACAGCGAAAACAAAATCATGGGACTGAAATAATAAGAATTAAAAAAAAGAAATCACAAGACCATTAGTTTGGAGCCGGGGCCGTGCAGAGAGGGTGCCCGCAGCCAGAGCACCACGAGCAGCGCGGCACTGCTCTCTGCGACACGGGGAGCACCGCTTGGGCTCTTGCCGCCTTGAAACACCACCCAGGGCCTTTTCAGCTGGGATTTCTCCTCCTTTCTATCTTTTTCCAGCTCCTCAAGTCTGCACCTAAAAAGAGGGCACAGAGGAGCCAATTTGATTTACTGAATTTTATCTCTTTTTCCCCCTATAAGGAAACATCCTTTTTGTTCCCCATGAAATTTTCAAAACCTGTACGTTTTGGGGATGAAAACTGCTCTGTGTGTCTTCAGCTAAAGAGGGACTTTGACTTCCCACCTGCCACTCTGGGACTGATGCAAGCAGGATGGCGAGCAAGCTGACTCCCATTTCCCGGGAGACGGTTCAGCCAGATTTAGGAAAAACTGAGCAGTCTCCTGTGCCAGGACCCATCGCAGATGCTGGTGGAAAGGCAGGGATCTAGCTTGAGCACTTGAAGACTGTGCTACGGCTCATTGCCAAACAATGCAGCAGAAGAGTCCGTGATCGGCAGCATGCACAGATGCTGGGCTCAGCTCTCCATGGGGACCTCCAGCCATTTGGGCTCTCCACCTAAATACATAAGCTGGGGTCCCCTCGCTCTGGTCTGCACGGGGAAGAGAGGCATTTGACCTTGTCTACAGAAGTCCTATTACTCCCCAGTGACTACGTAGGGACCTCAGGCCGCCCTCCTCCCACCCCGTGGCCCTGTACGTCAGAGGAGAAGTTTGGTCAGATGTGTTGTCCACTTCTCCACTGTGGCTGGAGTTGGGGAAAGCCCCAGAATGGGAAGGGACAGGGCGAGACC